AGGTGTATGTGGCTGGCTCCTTAGCCACTTGAGCCATAGGCGCCGAGCCTTCTTTCCTTTTCTTTTCCTTTCCCTTTCCCTTTCTTTCTTTCTTTTTTTCCTTTCTTTCTTTTCTTTTCTTTCTTTCTTTCAATTTGCTATGTTGCCCAGGCTGGTCTTCAACTTCTGGCCTCAACTGAGTCCCTTTAGAGGCCCAGGCAGATCTAAAATGAGCAAAGAGGTCAGGCACAGTAGCTCATACCTGTAATCCTAGCACTTGGGAGGCTGAGACAGGAGGATCACTTGAGCCTAGCAGTTAGAGGATGCAGTGGGCTATGATGATGCCACTGCTCTCTAGCCTGGGCAACAAGAGTCAGGTCCTATCTCAAAAAATTAAAATTAAAAAAAGAAGGCAGTGCAGCCAGAGTGGACACTGCTGCCCTCCACTGGGGACAGGCCCCCTGAGCTCCCTTTCTCACTGCCATCTCCATGTGTGTGCCCATCAGTCTCATGTCATCTTCCAACCTGGAGGCACTCCTGAGGTTCCCACTATTAATTGAGCACTGTTTGCGTTTCATCCTGTGGCTTGCCTAAGACAAGGCATTTATTTCGCACATGGGTGTGCATTTGAGTTTTGCTCCCTCACAACCAAAATAGGAGGTGTTGCTATTGGAAGTTGCCATTTGCTTTCCCAGTAGAAAACACACAGGTTCATATGTTGACTCACAGCTCTGTCTGCTTAATAAAAATTAGCCCTTTGATTTTAGCCATAAGGTACGCATGTAGAACAGCCCATTTCTCAAAAGCATGTCTTTAAGTGATGGCTGCTGTCCTTGTTTAGGGGATTATTGCCATAAAAAGGAGGTTGGTGTCCTGATGAAACAATAATCACATTTTAGACATGTGAGTTCATAGAGATCATCCTTTGTGGACAGCCATGGGCTAAATATGCGGCGCTTTCGGCTGCAGGGCAGAATTGCTCACATTGACACGCACAGTCTGACAGATAACCTGTGGGTGGATCCATGGGCTCGGTGAGGGTCACTCGCCAGGTACCCGCTCGGAGCTGTCCTGCACAGGGCACTGGGTACTTTGGCAAACAAGGGTCTGCCCCTGGGACTCACAGCCCAGAGCGTGGTTTCTAACAATGCCCTGGCAGAGTTTTTTATCTATCTCAAATAAAATGAGAAAAACGGCATAAAAAAACACTTCAAAAAGTTAAACTTCTTGAGTATATAAAGGACGGTCTTTGATTCTGAGATTATGAGTTTTAGTAAATAGTGTTAAGCTATCTTTTTTTTTTTTTTTTTTTTTTTGCAGTTTTTGGCCAGGGCTAGGTTTAAACCCACAACCTCCAGCATATGGGGCCAGTGCCTACTCCTTTGAGCTACAGGCACCGCCCCTGTCTTTTCTTTTTAAAATAGTAACAATAATGACACTACATTAAAAGTTACCTATCTTTTGTTTGCCCTGAAACATCTTCTGCCCTTGACGTCCTGAAGCCTGGGCCCATTGCTTTCTGAGTCTGGTTCATGGAATGGCCTGTTCTCCCCCCAGTGTCCTGTCCCTTATTCCTCGTGTCACAGGCCACATCTCAGGCTCAGCCTCTGCTACATTGGTCTCCAGTTCCCTACACAGACTCTGCTTAAGATGGCAGCAGCCTCTATCACTTGATATAATGACCCCAGGCCAGTGAAAATGTTCTCTGTATAGCAACCTTAAAAATCTGGTCTTGGATGGGGCTTCGTGGCTTAAGTGATGGCTGCTTATACCTGTAATCCTAGTGCTTTTGGAGGCCAAAGCAAGAGGATTGCTTAAGGCCAGGAGTTCAAAACTGGCTGGGGCAACTTGGCAAGACTCTGTTTCTATAAAAAATAATTTTAAAAAATTAGCCAGGTGTGGTAGTAAGCACCTGTAATCCCAGATACTCAGGAGGCCGAGGTGGGAAGATTGTCGAGCCCCAAAGTTCAGGGCTGCAGAGAGCTATGATAGAGTGAGACCCTGTCTCTTACAAAAATAATAATCTGGTCCTAAAGCCTCCAGAATAATCATCCTTCAAATGAGCTGAGATCAGTATCTCAGGTTAGAAATCTAGATTCCCGGGGTTTTTCCCTAGACCTGGTCACGCAGCTGCCGTGCTACAGCGGCTCGAGAAAGCTCACTCCCTCTCAGAAATCCTTCTGTGTTTGCACAGTTCCAGGTCTTCAGAAATGTGCTTCTCAGAAAGAGCCCTGCAGGAACTTGAGGTCAGGGAACACCCCTACCACGGTTCCTCAGCCCTCCTTTCTGGGGGAAGAAGAGGGACCACAGGGCAGTCCCTAAAGTCCTCCAGCTTTCCTCTCCACTAAAAACTTTTCTTCTTTTCTACTTTCTAATTGAGGCATGGTACACATACAGTAAAGCTCCCTGGAAATGCTGAGTTAGAGTTGGCCCTGTCAGCAACAGTAGATTCTGCCAAGTGCCCTCCGATGCAGTTGAGCCATCTGCAGCACATGAGGGTTCCAGCAGCTCCACATCACCTGTTTTGTTTTTATAACTTGGGCTTTGGGGGTATGTGGTTATATCTCATGGTTTTTAATTTGCACTTTCCCTGACAAGTAATGAGAAAAACACCGTCATTCCGTGTGCTTGCTGGGTGATTGGATATTCTCTTTGGTGGAGGGCCTGCTCTAGTCCTTTGCTCGCTGAAGAAAGAGGTTGTTTGTCTTTTACTTACTGATTTACAGAAGCTTTAAGTGTATTCCACAGACGGGTCCACTGTCAGGTATATGTATTGAGACAATTTTCTCCCAGTCTGCGGCTGGGAGAATGGTGTCTTCTGATGAACTGAAGTACCCAGTTTCAGTGAAAGACTAGGAATCATTTCTCTTGTGGTCAGGGCCTTTTCTATCCCGTTAGAGAAATCTCCAACCTTACATCCAGAGGTGCTAATTGGTGCCGGCCATGGGTAGTGGCTGAGTGCTCAGTTTTTGGAGCACATCGGGTCAGAATCTCATCCCTGCCGCTTTTATTCCGGCCACTTCGCCTGTCACACTAAGCCTTGGTTTGTCCATCTGAAAAGTAGGCGTGCCCCCCATGGGACCATTGGGAACTTGAATGAAATAACATACATGAAATGCTTGCAACAGGGGCTTTCTTTTTACTGTTGAGAGTCTGATCTGGACTCTTCAAGGATTCAGTCACCTCAAAGGATGGTTAGTCAGTTGCTCCCCACCCTGGCCCCCGGCAGGTGACAGAAACACCACCACCCCCACCCAGCCCCTGCCTGACTCCTAGGTCTCTCCTCAAAGTGTCTGGTGCCCAGGGGCTTTCTGCCCTACCAGTGTAGGGGGCAGCTGCTCGGAGCCTGGGCCCTGTGTCCCCCAGCCCCTGCTTGCCTCCCCACCCTGTGCTCCTGCTGCTGTACCTGAGTGAACATAAGCACCCACCCTGTGGCTGTGTTTCAGTTGGGACGCCGTACTACATGTCACCAGAGAGGATCCATGAGAATGGTTACAACTTCAAGTCCGACATCTGGTCCCTGGGCTGTTTGCTGTACGAGGTAAGCCTTTGCCCCCCTGCTTCACCTCACTGAGTGGGACATGCACGGGGGACGTGGGGCAGTTAGGGCAGGGCTCACCCTGCCAGCTCACCATGCCAATCACCGTCCACAGCTGCCTCAAGTGTTTTGTTGGTGTCACAGAGACAGATTTCTTTGCCTGCTTAGGCCTGGCAATTCTGAGGGCTGACCTCATAGCCTTTGTGTGTGAGGAAGGTACTGCTCACTGCCTGGCCTTGTAGGGACCCTGGCAGGTCCTATGGCCTAGGTCTTTTGGTCCTGGGATTTCCCCTCCTGCATTACAGCTTAAGACCACAAGATCAAAACTCTGACCCTTTTGCAAGGTTTAAATTTTATACCAGCATCTTTCTTTATAAGCCAGGGTCTGCTATTATGAGAACAGATACTTCATTTTCAAAGATTGGGTGGAGGTATGGCCCTTGTGGCACTGGTGCTTGGAACCCCTTCCTCTGGGAGGGAGTCCGCAGATGTGGGTGACCACAGTGTTCTCTCGAGGGTCTCTCAGTGAGTCTGGGCCCCACAGTCCGAGCTGGGAAGCAGGCTGCGTGCTATTTCTATGACCCCACGGGGCATCAGTTGCAGGAGGAGTTCTTTTAACAAGCAACCTGGCTGGCATGAGGGCAGGTGGGGCACAGCTCTGGGCCCACTGGTGTGAGGGCTGAGCTGTGTACCCTCCCCCACCCATGTCTCTAGCCTGCTTCTGGGTGGGTGGGGACCTGGAAGGTGTTGAGCAGTGTGGGTGTCTGAGCTTAGGGGACAGTGGGTTTAGGAGGGGATGTGGAGGGAGCTAGTGTCTTCAGCAACAGGAGTACAGATGACAGAGCTCTTTATAGAAGCAGGAGGGAAACCTGCCTTTGGCTGTGCCCTGTGGCTGGCACTTTCACAACATTCCCAGAAAGGGGGTGCGTGTTTGTTTCTGTTTTGCCTCAAAGGCATTAAAACCAACCAAGCTGCAGGGACAGGGAAGCTGCAGAATTATACAGAGCTGCTGTGCACTGCTGGTATTTGTCACCTAAGATGAATCATGAGTTCAGAGTCTATCCAGCAGTTACTCCTACAGGTGAACACTCTGCTGCCAAGGCCAACGACAAAGGCAAGCTCATGTCACACAATAGCCGGGCTCTCACTTGGTTCAGTGCTGCACAGTCAATAGCCTGTGGGCGTCATTCACCTGGCTGTCAGGTCCTGAGGGGTGGGGACAGCTGTTTTGGGCCTCCCTGAGCATGGCAGGCAGGCAGGGAGCGCTGCTGTGCCACAGAGAGCGTGTATGTACGTCAGCAACTCATACAGTCACAGTGATTGGGTGATAGGTGCGGGGTCCTGTCAGGAGCCCAGACTTTGATCAGAAGGACCTGAGCTCCGACTCCCTGCCCCTGCACCCACCCACAGAAGGATCTAGGGCAGGCCAGCCCCTTCCCCTTTGGGCTCCAATTGCCCATGTATAGACCGGGGCCCCGGCCTGCTTGGGAGGAGCAGACAAGGGCCTGGGGCTGAGGCACCAACTCAGAGAAGGCCCTTGAACCTGTCTGGGAGCCCGCTGGCCTGTGCAAGCTGAGTAATTTGCGTGTACACCCCTTTTGCTGAGGAGTCTCCTGCAGATGGCCATGTTTCCCTTTTTGCTTTGGCCAGTGGGAAGCCAGAGAGCAGCTCAGCTTTGGTCCCCCTAGAGAACTCCACTTTCTCCTCCCATCCTCACGTGTATTGTCCCTAGTCCAGATGGGTTTTTCTTCTTTCTTTTCCCTTCTGGGCTTTGTACTTTTGTAAGGCAGTTCCTGCCCTCTGTGAACCACGGGGGTCTCCAGATATCAAAAACACAGCTAAGCAGACTGACATCTCCCCAGGGCTGGGGCAGGGGGGTCTGCAGCTGGTTCCCCTGCTTGTGCCAAGCCTTCTGCCCAAGAACCAACCCTGCAGTTGCCAGCCCTGTTCCCTGCCCACGGCCTTTGTCTTGGCTGCTCAGAGGTAAACACAGCCCAGTCCCTGCCAGGCCTGCAGTGCCCGCCTTACTGGGTTCCCAGTAGGGAAGTCCTCGTCATGGTCACCTGGGTGCACATCTAATGAGGCAGCATTGAGAGTTCGGTTCTGCTGAGCTGGTTTATTTGTGAGGATTGTGGGGCTATGTGGCTGGTGGCAGGAAGGCTATGGAAAATAAAAAAATCAGTCTGGCAGGGATTAGCTGTCCTCAAGAACAGTGAGCGCTGATCTTAAACCTAATGGCCCAGCTCCCAACAGAAGATGGCTTTTGTGGCTGATGTGGCTGTCCATAGCCAGCCCCTTCCAGGTGACAGGGCAGGGGCTCTGCCCCAGTGTGGTACCCCTTCCCTACTTCTGTAGGGAGGGGGAGGGGACAGCATCAGAACCCGGGGCTGTAGTAAGTGGAAGGAGACATCCCGCAGTCATTACTGAGCCTCCTACTCCACAGCCTGTAGTGTCTTCCAGGGGTACCAACCTAAAGAGCTGTGACAAAGCCCCCACCCACTCCAGACCTGAGAGTTCTGCAGGTAGCACACACCCAGGTCAAGACAGCTTGGGCCTGAGGTGACGGCACATAGTCAGACAAAACCTGCTGCTCCTGAGCCCCAGTGTGGCTTTGGAAGCAGCCACAGTAACAGATTACCCCGAAGGTGATGGCTTCAAACAACATAAACTGATTCTCTTAGTTCTGGAGACCAGAAATCCAGAATCGGCATCACTGAGGTCACATGCAGGTGTCAGCAGGGCAGACTTCTTCTATACAGTGGGGAGCAGATGTATCCCCGCCTTTCCCATGGCCCCTCCTCGTGTCCCCCTACCTCTCATGGGGGCCCACCTGGGGAATCCAGACAGTCTCCCCATCTCAGGAGCCTAAAATTAATCCCACCTGCCAAATCCTGATGCCCTGAAGTGACATTTACAGGTTCCAAAGATTAGGCAGTGGACATTGTGAGCCCATTATTCAGCCCACCATACCCCCTTTCAAACCTGGGCTTCCAGATTATTGCCAAGACCTCCTGAAATCACCTGAGGATGGTGATGTGGACCACGGCTGCCCTGCAGCCTCGGGTGGGTGGCCAGTGGAGTCTGCCTTGAAGAAGCCAGCATAAGGAGAAATGGGCCATACAGCTCAGTAGCAGTGCCCTGGCCACTGGACGGAAGTGCAGGTTGTGCAGGCCAGGATCCCCCATTGGCATGGCAGAGATGCCTGAGCATGGTCGTGTCACAGTCCAGTGCTTTATTTGCATTACCCAGCACGCCCCGTGGAGGCGCCCATTGGGCTGCCTGGGCTCTGCAGAATTTATTTATTCAGGTGGGAGTATAGCTCTGAGCACAGCACTGAAGGAATCAACCCATTCAGCCCCAGTCCCAGGATCCTCACAGGGGACCCTTCTTACAGCTGCCTCAACAGGCCCTCCTGGGACTGAGACCCCTCTGGGTAGTGGCCAATTAGGGGAGACCAGCTATGCCATGTCAGGAATGCTGCTTTGGCCAGCAGACCAGCCAGATGCCCCACCCTGGTGGAAGAGCTCGGCTGCAGGCTGTGGGCTGCATAGTGGCTTTCTTCTGGGTGATACAGAGTGACGGGCCACATGTCTGAGACCCTGATAGGCAGGAGTCAAACCCTTTCTCCTCTGACATCTCAGATCATGTGCCAGTTTTTCTGAGCCCTCCCAGCAGGACTGCTGCCCACCCCCTTTCCTTGGCTACATGTCATCCTGATAACACCAGAGAGAAGCAGCTTTGCATCTGAGGACAGTGCTATGAGCCATGGTCTAACGAGGCCATGTGTCAGCCCCAGACAGTCCTCCTCTGCTTCCACCAGGCAGAGGCTGGGTGGGCACCCGTGCGAGGAGATCTCGCCATTGGGGTAATCGTTCTAATCCCAGCAGCCCAGAGGTTACTTCACAGCCTGTCGCCCTGATCTGAGTGGAAGGCCCACGGCCAGCAGCAAAACAGGAGAAGGCTGGACGTTGCCTTTGCTGGAATCTGCTCAATCGACAGAGGAGCCTGATGGCAGGAAGGTTAAGACCACTGTCCCTGTTCACAAGCTTGTCTGAAGCCATGTGGGAAGGTGCTGGAAGGAATGGAGAAGCAGTCTAAGGGGATGGAAGCTTGAGGATTCATTGCCCAGCTCAATTTTCTGGGGCCTTTAGAGTCCCAGACAGCAAGATTTGTAAAAAGCAGACCAGATGAAAGGTCAACCAGTCCGTCTCCCAGGCCAGACACATGGAAATCCAGGGCCCGCATTAACACGACCAGCATTTACACACCCTTCTACCCTAACTGAAAACCCATCTTTCTCCTCCCTCTACAACTTGGAGAACACCCCAGTGACCCTGAGTGACCACCCTGGAACCCCAGCTACTCTCTGCTATGGCAACAGATGTCCTTTGAAACTGCCTAGCCACCCTTTGCTCCCAGGTTCTCATTTTCGTCACTGCAAATGCTGATGTATTTTATAGACTGGATGGTAAAGTCAGGGCTGGGGCCCCCATGTAGGAAGAACTTCTGCATTCTCATCAGACCCTCTCTCTCATGTGGGCAGGACTTCTGCATTCTCCCCGGACCCTCTCTGTAGCTTTCCTGTAAGGTGGGCTTATGGATAGATGCATTCCCCCCCCACACACATACCTTACAGGGCCTGAGCCCCTGGGCAGTGGAAGAAGAGGTGACACCTACCTCCCAACACTTACCTGAAAGCACTGGGCTTGGGCCAGGCATGCAGCCTCACAGGTGCTGGGCCTGAGGAAACCTCCAAATCTCCAGATGACACTCTGCTGCCTCCCCAGAAGCTATCTGCAAATCCAAGGGACACTGCCAGGACCTGTAGACGAGGCAGGCCCTGCTCTTAGGGTCACCAGACCTCCTCAGAGGGGTGGGCAGGGTTTGGAGGAAGGCCAGAAAACTTAAGCCACTGGCTTTATCCTGCCCTGAGATGGGGTTCTCTAGCCTTCCCCTGGGACATGAGGGCAAGTGGAGATTCCTCAGGTGTCCCAGGGGCCCATCACAGCCAAAGCCAGCAGCCCCTCAGAAGAGGACCAGGGCCACATGGACAGGAAGGGCATGGACCCGACTCACTTCATTAGTCCCTTCAGCTGTTGTTTGGCATAGGTAGGAAAGAGTGAGCAGTAGTGACAAGTAGCACTTGAGCAGCGGTTCTCAACTTGTGGGTTGCGACCCACAGGAACTGTATTGAACAACTGCACTAGAAGCTAACCAACAGATA